GTTCGGTATGCGTGCCGAAACCACCCCCCCAATATATAATTTCCCGGCCCTCCCCCCGCCACACAAACTAAATGGCCCAACTCCCCATATATATATTTTGCACTATCCCGCTATCAATATATACCGCCCAAAAAATTTATTTCTCTATTTTTCTATCTCTATATATATGTTTCAATTTATATGTGTAAATATATACATGTAGATTCGTCAAAGGCTCCAACTCAAGCTCGGGTTTTTCGAGCTCGAGCTCGAACTCACGAGCTCAAGTTTTGGACGAGCTCGAGCATATATATATATATATATATATATATATATATATATATATATATATATATATATATATATATATATATATATATATATATATATATATATATATATATATATATTATTCTTATTCTTATTAACTTAATAGTAAATAGTCTATAATAATAAATATTTCTAGTATTTAAATAGAAACAAATCTATATTACTTAGATAATTCATAATAATATTAAATATTATATTAAAAATATAAAAATTAAAACTATATAACTAGAGTTCATTATTTATTTTATATTTTTTTTTCCTATAAATATTTTTTAATAAAAAATTAAATAATAACAAGAAAAAAAAATTAAATGAGCCCGAGCTCGAGCCCTCATCGAGTCAATTTTAATTGACTCGATGAGCTCGAGCTCGGCAACAGGGACTCGAGCTCGAGCTCGAGCTGGCCAAAACAGCCGAGCTCGGCTAGTTCACACCCCAGGTAAAGGAGATCCCATAATAGGTCCTAGTAGGGGTGTACACGGGTCGGTACGGGTCGATTTTTGCAATAAACCAAACACGTACCGATACATTGGTTTTTCATATTTTAAAAATCGAACATGTTGGTTTTATTCGGTTCGGTGTTAATCGGTTTTTCAATTTTTGATTAACGGTTTCGGTATCAGTTCGGTTTATTCTCGGTTTCAGTTTCGTCTATTGGTTCGAATCGATTTGGCATAAAAACGATATATTTGGAAGTTTATTACATTTATTTGAGAAAATTAACAAATAAAAACACATCACAACCCAAGATTAACTAATAAAAAACATGTCACATGGAGGCGTTCGAAGGATAGAGGCGCGCTAGGGTAAGTATTTATACTATATATCAAAACGACGTCGTTTTATATAAATCGGTTCGGTTCGGGTAATCGATTTGGTAATTTTTTTATTCGCCATACGCAAATCGATATTTTCTGTTTTTCAACAAAAAAATACCGTATATGCGGTTTTAAGAAGGGACGATGCATATCGGCTCGGTTTTTTCGGTTTTCGGTTCGGTTTTTCAGTTTCTCAATTTTTTTATTCACCCCTAGGGCCTAGGTTTATTTCACTTTGGAATCTTATTTGTCTGTGTTCAGCAATTTAATTGGCGATTGGTCCATTTGGGGCCTCGTTTAGAGCATCCGTTGGAGATGCCCTAAAAAACATTCAATTTGGAAAGGAGATATGTCAAAGAATGAGTAACTCTATGACACTAAAAAAATAATCTGTCTTCTGTTTTTTAAACACCTCATTTTAGTATGTATACTAGAGTTGTTTTGTTGGTGGAGTAAGAGTAAGAAAGTACTGCTTCGAATAATTTGAATTTGAATATTTTTGTCAATACTTTCTTGTTTTTGTCATATCTTTTAAATATATTGCGAGATATTGCACAAGAACAGAGTTTACATAGTGAACCTACGAATTCTTTTGTCAATCATTTTTTTTTCTTCTATTTTTACTTCGTTGTCATTATAGTTGTGTTGCTAATTCAATATAGTGAACCCAAAAAAATTGTATTAACGAATAAAAAAAGGAACTTCAGTAATACAATACAAGTATTGTCACTTAATTGCTACTTTCATATTATCACTACAGCCATGTCCCCCAAATGTTATCTTGGTTAATAGATATCTGATGATACTAGAGATAGATCACCTTAAATAGTTGAAATAGGATGAGCTGGAAGGGCAGAGTGGATCACTAGTTCACGAGCTTGATGACCTTGAGATACTGCGATCACAGAACACGTGAACTAGGCCGGGGGTTGATCCGGCGGAAACCCCTCCGACGCTCAAGTCAGACGTGCTGATAGTGGAAATAGTCCAGAGAATACAGTTACTAGTATTGCTCAGTTAATAGGACGTACCTAAGAAATGAGTTCAAACCTTTATTTATAGCTTAGTTGAGATTGTCGGGCCCAAACCTTACTTAAAGGTGATTGGGCCTCGGTGATAATGATCTTCGATATTGGGCTCGTGGCCCAGTAGGTAAATAATTTGTAGGCCCATTGGGTTGGGCCAATTAGGCATATCATTAAGCCCCCCACTCTCGAGTCGATGTGGGGGCCATGTTGAAATGGGTGTCAGATCGTGTCGAGAGTAAAATTTGTAGAAGTCGATCGTTGGCGTATGGCCTAATGGTGTGCGAAAACGCATTGGAGCGTGTGTCGGAGGGGCGTGAAGGCGCGTTGGCGCGTAGCGCAACCAAGTTGTCGCGATGTAAGTTACTTGAGTGGTCGGTGTTGTCCCGCGACGATGTAGTAGCTCGGATCAAGTTGTCTCCTCGTGGGAGTTGCCTCGCAACGGGTTATAGGACGGAGCGAGTGGTCTCCTCGTGGGAGTTATTTCGCTGCGGGTTCGTAGGACCGAGCGAGTTGTCTCCTCGTGGGAGTTGTCTCGCTGTGGGTTGTAGGAACGAGCGAGTTGTCTCCTCGTGGGAGTTGCCTCGCAACAGGTGTGTAGGGCCGAGAGAGTTTGCTCCTCGTGGGAGTTGTCTCGCAAGCCCCCCACTCTCGATTCGATATGGGAACCAAGTCAAAAAAGGTACCGATCGTGTCGAGAGTAGATCGGTGTTGTAGTGTTCCGTTAATCCTTAGCGTGGTGTGGAGGAATAATTTTTATTTACCCCTTAGAGAGCGTGCGCGATTAGGTGAGGCGCGTTGGAAAGCGCGCGCAATTTGGTGTAGCGCGTTGAAATTCGATCGCGATTTGATGGAATCGCGTAAAAATCTACGCGCAATTTGGTGGAGAGTATTGATAGTTGCGCGCCCTCGCGATTCTGGGCGCGCGTGTACGCCACGCGCGCGCGTGCTGTGCACGAGCGTTTCTTCTCGGTTTTTTTTTTCCTTTTTTTCTTTTTTTCTTTTTTTTTTTTTTTTTTTTGAGCTTGTTGATATCCACCCCATTTGGAGATTTCTTATCTTTGGGGTAGAGAGATGATACGCTACTCTTAGGTTGGAATGTCTAACTCTTTTGGGTAGAAATGTAAGAGGGTGTATCACCCAAAAGATGAGATGTCCAACCAATGGAATGCTGAGCACGCGGATGTAGAGAGCGCGGATGCAGAGTGCGTGCGCGGATGGGGATCGCGTGGATTTGGAGTGCATGCACGGATGCGGATGCGGAGAGCGCGGATTTGGAACGCATACGCAGATGCGCATGCGGAGCGCACGGAAGCATAGCATATCATAGCATAGTATAGCATAGCATAGCAGATGCGGAAGCATAGCATATCATAGCATAGCATAGCATATTGTAGCATAGCATATCATAGCATAGCAGATGCGGAAGCATAGCATATCATAGCATAGTATAGCATAGCATAGCTGTTTTTTTTTTTTTTCGGTGACGCGCGCGTGCTGTGCACGCCCCTCTTCCTTCTCTCTCTTTTTTTTTCTTCTTTTTTTTTCTCCATCTCTTTATTTTTCTTCTTTTTTTTTCTTTTTTCTCCATCTTCTTTATTTTTCTTTTTCTTTTTTTTCTTTTTTCTCCATCTTCTTTATTTTTTTTCTTCTTCGTTTTCTTTTTTTTCTCATCTTCTTTATTTTTCTTCTTCTTCGTTTTCTTCTTTTTATCATCTTCTTCTTTTTTGTTCTTCTTCTTTTTCTTTTTTCTCCATCTTCTTCTTTTTTCTTCTTCTCTCTTTTTAGGTGGTTGATGTTCACCCCTTTGCGGATGTTCTATTTTTTTTTTTTTTTTTTTTTGAGTATGGAGATTATACTCGTCTCTTGAGATGGGATGTGCACCCACTTGGGGTTGAAAGGTAAGTGTGATGCCCAACCTTGGGATTGGATAACCACCCACTGTAGGAAGAGGCGCTCTAGACCTATGGTCTGAGGTGGATGCGCACGGTTGTGTCGTTGCTTCAGTGACAGCACGAGTTGAAGTTTTCGCGGTCGTACACTGGAGGTCCTCATCGGTTAACTGAACCGTTAGAGGAGCAAGTAGAAGTTGATCTTGTTGAAGCTTCGCCGATCATACGCTGAAGGTTCTCTTCGGTTATCTAAACCGTTCGTGGGGGTGGAGGTAGGCCCCCATGGAGTCGATAACCCATGGCGAACGAATTTTTTGGGGACAGTGTAAACCCGCAGGGAGTCGATAAATCTTGGCGAACGAAATATTTTGGGAGCAGATGTAAGCCCCTAGGGAGTCGATAACCCTTGGCGAACGAAATATTTTGGGGGCGCTATAAACCCCCAGGGAGTCGATAACCCTTGGTTAACGAAATATTTTGGGGGCAGATGTAAGCCCCCAGAGAGTCGATAACCCTTGGCGAACGAAATATTTTGGGAGGCACTATAAACCCCCAGGGAGTCGATAACCCTTGGCGAACGAAATATTTATGGGGCAGATGTAAGCCTCCAGGGAGTCGATAACCCTTGGCGAACGAAATATTTTGGGGACAAATGTAAGCCCCTAGGGAATCGATAACCCTTACTAGCGTTGAAGGGCCTTCTCGATTGTCTGAACCGATCGAGGGGCGGGAAGAAGTGAATCCTGTTGAGGATCTAGTGGGACATCCGAGGAAGGCCTCGTAGTGGATCCCGAGCATGGGGAGGAGGATGTGACAAGCCAGAGCCTCCACGAGGTGGGAGGTTGTTAGCAGTGTCACACTCCCCTGAGCAGATGTCTCAAGGCCGTCATGTGCGCTACGTGATTGTGTTTGCCTTCCCACAGACGGCGCCAAAATGATGATGCTAGAGATAGATCACCTTAGATAGTTGAAGTAGGATGAGCTGGAAGGGCAGAGTGGATCACTGGCTCACGAGCTTGATGACCTTGAGATACTTGCGATCGCAGAACACGTGAACTAGGCCGGGCGTTGATCCGACGGAAACCCCTCCGACGCTCAAGTCAGACATACTGATAGTGGAAATAGTCCAGAGAATACAGTTAATAGTATTGTTCAGTTAATAGGACGTACCTTAAGGAATGAGTTCAAACCTTTATTTATAGCTTAGTTGAGATTGTCGGGCCAAACCTTACTTAAAGGTGATTGGGCCTCGGTGATAATGATCTTCGATATTAGGCTCGTGGCCCAGTAAATAAATAATTTGTAGGCACATTGGGTTGAGCCAACTAGGCATATCAATATACAAATTTTATTTGTTGTAACGACCACAAGCGATCAATTACTAGTTCAATATCAAATAGTGGTCTACTTGTAATTATTCCAGTTCTAATATATATATATATATATATATATATATATATATATATATATATATATATATATATATATATATATATATATATATATATATATATATATATATATATATATATATATATATATATATATATATATATATATATATATATATATATATATATATATATATATATATATATATATATATATATATATATATATATATATATATATATATATATATATATATATATATATATATATATATATATATATATATGTATATATATATATATATAATAACTTATCTTTTCATTTTGTATTTGGCACCGATCCATTGAACTACAAATTATAATTTGTGTTTAATTTTCAAAAAGAAAAAAAAAAAAAAAAAACACCCATGTGACAAAAAATAGAGTAAAGTGCACTCACCATGGCGTGGTCTCATTGTAATGTGTATATATAATTGGGAATTTGAGTGAATCAAATTAGACTACGTGTTGCTTCAAAAAAAAAAATTGGGCAAGTGGGCTAACATTTTGGATAAGTCAATTATCACAACCTTAAAATAAGTAAACACATGAAGAAGTTGGAAATTGAAGTGTTCTGAAATAGATATATCATAAAAAATAAAATTGAGAACAAAGTATATGGCTGGGGAAGAGACTCGTCTCACAATTAATTGTTTTAGCAATTCATACTACGACACAAGATTTTAAAATAAATAAATAAATTAATTAATTAATATTAGGACACAAGAACATGAACAAGCGCGTGCCACGACGACACCAATATCATATTTTTTTTCTTTGAAAAACAAAATTATCCATTGCCCAAATACGGTCGTGTAGTATGTATATATATCTTGTGGTAGGGACAATTGCTGCACCGGTTTTTGTACCTTGTCGATCACGATTTCTATCTAACTTTTTTCACCAAAATTTCATTATATATTGTTTGTCTATATATTTTGGTCCATTCTTTTAAAACAAGTATTAATTGCATATACGGGCATTGGACTAGACTTAATTGCAATCACATAAACTCTAATTTTTTTTTTTTAATTAAAAAAGGAAAGCAATTCTGTTAAAGAGTTTAAAGTACCCATTCACATCTAATTTACTCTAATTTCATCTCAAAATTATAATTTAAACAACTAGTAACTTGACCCGTGCGATGCACGGGATTGAACAAACAAACATAACAATCATTAAAACAAACAGAAATAAAAATGTATTAACTATTTAACTGAAAAATCTAATAAAAACTATATATTGAATATTTTACTGGAAAATCTAATCACTACAACAAAATTAGTTTTTAATAGCACATCTCTATAGCGTTTTTCTCGTAAATGCTATAATTGCTCTTTATATCGTTTCCAAATAATAAATCCAAAAATAAAACGCTATAACATTGAAATTTATTGCGCTCATTTTCCCGGGTCTCTAAATAAAATATATTATGAGTGAAACAAAGCCCTAAACTCCGTTCCACCTCCCAAGGATAATCGTCTAAAATTGAAACCCTCCATTTCTCTCAAATGTCGGTCTGCCGGCAAAACGCAATCTTCGATCCCATCTCCACCACGAATTTGTGAATTTATGTATCGTCCCCTCTCAAAATCGACCTCCTGGCGCACGGTTGTATCCCTTTTCAATCAGTATTGGGTACCTCTTACCATCTCTTTCTTTCTCTATTCTAATTTGAGTCTTTTTATGAGCAGCCTTAATTTCAATTTTTTTAAGCTAAAGCGGCCGTGAATCGGATCTGAAAGATATACCAAAGATTACTTGTGTGGGTGGATAAATGGCTAATTTGTATTTTGTTTTTTTATTGAATTTGTCGAAGTGTTGATTCAGGGAATACCCATTTTCTGGTATTTTAGTTTGGTCACTTTGAGTTTTTTTTTTCCGTACTTATGTTTTTGTTGAATCTTGGGATTACTCTTGCCTTTTGAGTTTTGTTTGTTGTTTTTCAATACAAATAGTAATTTTAAAGAATCTCTTATTTTATTATATGATATTTAAACTAGCTGTAATTTGGAATTGATGTATGTTATGCCATTGAGAAAAAAGAGGAGCAGAAGAAAGAGCAAATTTGGAACGGCAACAATCTATGAATTTCTCGGGGACATGCATATGTTGTATCTAAAATTTTGTTACCTTTCCTTCGCCGTACATTTGATGAAAAACGTTCTTTTCAGGGACGTTATGCAATACTAAAGACAGTGCAAAAGAGTTTGATAATAATTAAAAAAATGTTTTTCTTGAGTGGTAGCACAGCCTTGCAAGGTGGGCTTTCTAAGACAATGTAAGTAACCTTGATTTTCAAATGAATTCATGCTATGTGGTTCCAAAGTTATATTAGTAATCCATTGCGTTTAAAGCTATCTTTCTATTCGTTTATCTGTATTTTAGCATCTTCCAGTTATGGTTTTTTTTGTATTCCTCACATGGGCTTCTTGTGCAGCTTATAATATGTCGTAAGCTGGAAAGTTCATTTTTTTTAATATTCGCTATATCATTCGAACTCATATTGAACACCTCAGATATTTATTAATTTTTTGTTTGTCCTGATTTTGAACAGATAGAGGGTGATGAGGGTGCATATTGACTTAGCCGCGAAGCATTGGACTGATGTATCTTTCTTTGTTGATTAACTTAGACGAAGCATTAACCTGTGGAAGAATTTATCAATTTGACATGTTTCCTCAAAGGGTATAAGCAAGATCACCACATCAAGTTGTTAGTACTCTTGTTGTCATTTTGAGGATTTTATCTTTACTTGATTGTATATGTACATTATCTAGTTTGATTTGGAGATAGGTTGCTTAAGGCAGTTCTTTTACTTGATTTTTGATGCAGTGATTTATGGTGCTTAAATAAGATGATCAAGTATATTGAATGTGGTGGAACCATGGCCAGAAGATTGAATTGTTCATCTGATGCACAGAGTAATGTCTCTTCTATCTCTGATGATTATATGTTTCTCTAGTTTCATGTCTAGCTTAATGCATTCATCTATTTATCTATTTTTGTAGGAAAACTTTTTATGTAATTTATAGCTTAAAAGTTTTTTCGGTTACTTTGTTGTTCCTATTTGGTTATGAGAACCATTTATGCTATCTCAGAAGATATATGTGAATGTTTATTGATTCTTAAGTATATGAAAACTGAATAATTAGAAAAATTAGTTGTTTTTTTTACAATAAATGTGTTTAACTACTAGGTGATAACGTCATTTTTTGAATTGCGTAATGAAACAAGTTAGAAATATTGAATTGAAATTCTTATATTTCCTGATTTTGTTAACAGGAAACAAGGAATGGAAGACGAATTATGGCGTTCTCAATTGAATATGCTGAAACAATTGGAAGTGAACACGATTCTTTTAGTTTTTCGAAATAACAATCTAAGTTCAGTTTATAAGTTTTACTATACCTAGTGAAGGGTATCAAATCGAACAGGATATGTACATAATTTATTTTGTTATTGTGATATAATATTCTTAGCCGTTCTTGTATTATCTTGAGTTTAATAAAAATACATGTTATTGTATATTCATGTTTGTTGTTATCGTGTTGAAAATATAATTTGTTATATTATTTTTTAATAGCAATGCGAAAAGAAGCAATATGAGATATTAGTGATTGCAATTGAAAAAACCTGGCCATTTAATAGTTTATATTAACCAATAAATATTGCAAATGTTTGGGTTAACAATAGCGCAAAATATGCGCCATCAGCTAACTTAGGATAGCGTTTATATATAAATAATAGCATGAAACAACTGCTATAAAACGGATGACAATAGCTCAAAAAACACGCTATTATAGGATATTATACAATAGCGTTTGTACAACGCTACAGTAAAGTCGGGGTCTATTATAGCTCCGGCAGACATAGCGTTTGTAAAAGCGCTATGATAGACTACCATAGCGTTTTTCAAACGCTATGGATGGAGTTTTATGGTGTAGTGAATAAAAGTATAAAACTATATCCACCAAAGAATTAATCCGGCCACCAACAGAGTAGTTGTTTTCAACTCTTGAGCATATGTCACCTGCAGCGTAGGACAAAATGAAAGAAAAAATAATTTTTTTATAAATTGAAAATAAATGTTACAAAGCTCATTTATAAAACTTTGAAGACAAATAATCCATATAGAAATTTAACCAAATATATAAATAGCTTACTTAGTTCACATTTTGGAAAACTTCTTTATAAACGACGTTTGTAGTAGTATTTGAGGTGTTCCCGTCGTTGTTACAAATAAGTATCTTCAAGCCTCTTCGACTCGTAACTCTTGAGATAGCAACATATAATTGTCCATGTGAAAACACTGGTTTCTGAAGATATATACCCACGTGTTGAAGAGATTGGCCTTGACTTTTATTTACCGTAATTGCAAACGAAAGAGTGATAGGAAATTGTCGACGCTGGAATTTGAAAGTGTTGATTTTAAATGCCTATCAAAGTCCACTCATCTGTTGAGACAGACTACGTGTTACGCCATTAGGAGTGGCAACAGTATTCTTGTGTTATCACAGTAATTAACCTACTAAAAGCAGAATAAAAAACACAAGAATTTAATGTGGTTCGGATACAAACGTACCCTACATCCACGAGGACTTGCAAAACTAGTTCAGATTTATGTGTACATTAATAGGACTTAATAAAACACTAAAGACTCCCTCTTTATGTGATACGCCGTTCTTGCACACGACTCGAACTTGTTGATAATCAAAGCAATTCCTCCTCCGCACTCTTGGACTTCCTCCAATGTTGAACTTCCTTCAAACGGCGGATCGACCTCTCCCGAGATCTTTTAAGCACTTCTCCCGAAACGCCGATCTTCTTTATGGCCTGGTAGAAGAAACCTGTTCTGTTGCCACACCTGCCGTGCAGACAGGGCTGCAGCACGGGCTGCACCCTTCAAAGCCTTTATGCTGGGATTTTTCTTTGTAAAGCTCCATCGGACTCATATGAGGTTGAGGGCCTTATATAGGCACGAAATCCACCACCCTTAACCTAACTTGAGCCCTAAGAAATCGATTAACTAGGTAATAGAATCCTAGTCGATTTCTACTTCTATTCTAGATAAATACAAAAGATACCTAACTAGAATACAATACATGGAAATAAATCTAAGTCCTAATAACAATATTACAAAAATAGGACTCTAATTAATTCCAAAATAAACATGGAAAACAAATCTTTGCCAATCTTTAATTTCCACATATGGCGGATTTCTTCAATCTTCACTAACGGAAATTTGGTGCCAACAATCTCCCCCTTTGGCATAGATTGGTTAGAGTCAATCGTGGAATAAACACCTTATGACCAATGTTGGTTCCTGATATAATTTTCGCTTCCAAGACTCGATTTCCTAATCTTGAGATTGACAGTCGGGTGCCATTGCACAAACCTGAAGATTGGTCTATATTTCTCAACAACATGACCGGAACACCTTCTTTTAGTTTTAATTCGTGATTTGGAAGACCAGAAGAATTAATGGTATTCAAAAACTCGGGCGTATGAATATCATCAGGTCTGTCAATGCTTCCGTTTGCTGAACATGTACTATAAAAACTGAGATATGTCTTCATTTCCTTAGGAACCAACGATAGCATGTAATCGTTTACCACGTCAACAATCTCATTTGTCGGAGCCAGTATGGCCCTGTGTTGCAAATAACTGATATCATCCATATTCTCTAAAAATGATGGGTATGTCTCATTTACAATTGAAGCAAGTGGATCAGCTGACTCTTTTATGAGTAAGTCATCAGGGATTTCAATGCTGACCACCCCGTCATTGGGATCACCTATGGTGCCATCCCCAATACTTAATATTTCGGGAACTGATTTCTATTTGGAATAGAATTTCCTTATCAATCAAAGCATTAATCTCTGTAGGACATCCGTAATTATGGTTTCCCTACAAAAAAATAAAATGGTTATTAGCCTAATGTGGATTTAAATGTACATAACTTATTACATCAATAATACCTTGTTTGATGCACCACCTAGGTGTTCTGAAGCACTTTTTCCAATTAATTGCATGACAATACGATCAAACATTACGAATGAAGTCGATCCAGTACTATCAATGGCACTCACTTGAACTCTGAACCTGTACAAAAATATATATTTTACATACAAATTTCGAATACCAAGAGGAATGATGGTTTTCGTAAAATATTACCAAATCAAAGTATAATTACCTTGGTACAACAGGAACAAACCCGTCACACTCTTCGCACCAATATTTCTTTGAGACAGGTTCGACCTTCCTCACACAATTTTTACATGAAGCATACCACCAATTAGCTGCCGACTCGATTTCCAGAATTTTCGCCAGTACGGATCCAACACATACCTACAATATATATACAACAATCGATTCTTAAGCATTATATTTGTTTAATTAAGAATATATCAGATATATGTTCGACGAATCAACGTACCTTTGTACTCTCAGCGCATTCATCAATGGTCATTCTATCTGCCTGAAGTGGATCGTATGATCGAGGCAAAGAAAGTTGGGACGATAATTGACTAACTGATGGGACATAGACTTCTTCGCTCAATGCAAGCCTGTAAAATTTACAGGTATTAAAATATATAACGATTGATTATACTCAAGGTTATATGTATATATATATATATATATATATATATATATATATATATATTAAAGTTGAATGATCAAATGTTAGTACATATACCTGTAGTCTAAAACTTCTTTCAAATTCGGTTTGATCAGTAGTTGTGATCCATGTCGAACATTTGACAAACTCGTGCTTCCTAAGTATGATTTTAGGTGAATTAATATACAAAAATATGCATCAATATTTTAACAAATTCCTAAATATGCATCAATATTAGGGTATGTAAATATTAACACGCACCACAATGAGTTTTAGCCCTGAAACACTGAAGTATGACCACAGTCCATTTTGGTCAGTATTCGTTACATATGAATTTGTTCAGCAAATGCTTCCCATAAAGTACATTTAATTGTATATATATATATATATATATATATATATATATATATATATATATATATATATATATATATATATATATATATATATATATATATATATATATAATATTTAAATTACTCTAAATCTTGCAGAATAACATCCATAAGTTTGCTTTTCTCTCCTTTTGTAGTATCTCCTTTATATGCCAATTCTCTACCACATGACCAATTACATCTGTACAAATAAATAAATTAAATCAAATGTACCAGAGTTATATACTGAATCAAATTGCAACATTATTTTGATTACTGAGGATTTCTACATAACCCTTGTGATACAGACGACACAAATAAATTAGTGATTAACGGTAAGACATAACAAACATTTACCAAACTAAGTTATATGAAACAATTGCGTACCAAATAGTAAATATTCATCCACATTCTTCTTTATTGTGTCGAAAGAAACGAACTTGAAGTTGGTTGTCGGAATATATTCGGCTACTAAATTAGTAACTACAGTCATTCCGACAAAATTGAGCTTAAATTTGTACGTAGATACTCTAAATGGTAAATTTGAATCACCCACCAAGAAATTTTGAAACATATAAGTTTCGCCTTCTTTCACCAATTCCTTAAATTTCATAATGATATTTTTTTTATGGTAGCATGAATACGCATACCCTGTTACAAAATCAATAAAATAGTTAGCTCCTAAATATTGGGAATATAAAACAAAAATAAAAATAAATAAATAGAAAAGAATCCGGAAAAATAAAAACATCACCTTCTCATCCAAAAAAAACCATTTCAATGCTACCCATTTCTGTTTTTCTCCACCTATCTGGCACTAACCATAGACGAATTACCCATACAATTATCTTCCAATTAATAGTGTTTGTATCAATATTTAGGAGATTAGTGAAAACAGATATTAGAAAAAAAATTTAAACTTGTGTTATTTAACTACGTGTTTAATTATTATATTATAGGGAAAATTAATTTAGAATTATGCCAATATTTAGGAAATTAGTTAAATAATTAGTAGAAATTAATATTTAATTACGTGTTTAATTATTAGATTATACGAAATTTAATAATATGAAAAAAATTGGATTAGAAAATTAAATATTTAGAAGATTAGTTAAAGGATTAGTAGAAATTAATATTTAATTATATGTTTAATTATTAGATTATACGGAAAGTTAATTTAGAATTATGCCAATATTTTGGAGATTAGTTAAAGAATTAGTAGAAAATAATGTTTAATTAGGTGTTTAATTAATTATTAGATTATACGAAATTTAATAATATGAAAAAAAAAATTGGATTAGAAAATTAAATTTAATTCTATTATAAGATATCCTCCAAATGAGCGGGAAAAATTGACCTTAGGGTTTTCTAGGGTTTCTCCAGGAACCTTTCTTTTGTTAATAAGATTTGCACATTAAACGCCATTTTTAACAAAATATTAGACATCCATTTTCACATTTTTTTTTTGATTTTTTCTTTCTAGAAAAATAATTTTGTTTATGAATTTTGTTTTTTCCGTCGGTCAACGGCTTTGATTTTTTTATTTTTCTAATCCTTTTTCTCGACGATGACCGCCAGTCACTAGAGTCCTATTATGCAATGCCACAATAACCCATTATTCAGCAACTTTATTTGAAACTCATTCTTGAAGAACTCATGAAGTCCACTCAAGCATCACCCTGAAAACTAGAGACAAGTTGGGAACATATTAAGTTCAAGAGGTTTCTTGAAAATATTCGAGGCGATGTTGAGAATGGTTGTAGCAAGGAAAAGTCGTATGAAGTTTGTAATGAGAAAAATCTTTTAGAGCTAGACAATAGTGTCGATGAGAGGGAAAAAAGAATATACGAAGACGCTTAAGCATGATGAATATGAGAGTGTAATCGAGCTAAACTCCAAATATGTATCAGAACAATAGAAAAAGGAGATGGATGTGGTTATTGCAAGATGGATGCAGTTATTGCAGATATTCAAACAGTGGATGATATCGTTGTTCCTAATGTGGCTTTGAATGCATCAAAAGTGGTTGATGAGAAGGCGAATGTGTTTGAGGCAGAGGTTATAGGCAGACTTGATTTTTTTGTGTACCGATTTGCGGAAGCGGCTGATGAACATCCCATCTTGGCTTTGCACAGATTTATAGGTAGACCCTGACATATTGCAATGATATTCTTACATCAGTTGCAATGAAGTTGTAGAGTCCATGGATGGAAGTACAATGTACAAGACTTTGGATTGGACATAACAGTTTTAAGAAGCAAAGTATGGTTGAAGACTTAAAACTTAGCGCTTCTCGAGAGGCAACCCGAGCATTTATTGTTTTTTCCTGTATTTTTTGTATTTCTAGTTGTTTTTAATTTTCTTAGAATATAAATAAGCTTGCATATTAATCGTGTTTTAATATTCAGGTCAAAAAACGGACATGTAAAGACCAAACCAGACGACCGTCCAAAAATCAAGTCAAAACTCCAGAAGACCGTCCGAAGAAGTTGGAACAAGTTGTGCACCTATATATGCAAATTGAGAGCCGTCGCAAAATCAAGGCAAAACATGGGACAACCACTCGAAATCACTCGTGAAAAAAAAATTGCTTAAAAGAGGAAGAGATGGAGGAGTGCAACCCGGTGAGGACGTTTCGACTAATCAATGTGTATTCTATCCTTAAACTTCGTTCTAACTACATTGAGGACAATGTAAATTTTAATTTTGAAGGTGGAATTTTTTTTTTTATGTGTTTTATATGCCTTAGGAATTTATTTTTCTTTTTAGTTGTTTACGTTTTTTATTGTTTCCTTAAAACAATTGTTTAAGCTGAATGCATCGATGAATTCTAATGATGAAAGGTGGCCAATGTTTGATGATGAAATTCCCTGCATTGTCTTAACTATGATTGAATTTTTGTGAGCTTTCGATTCAAAGTAACTTAGTAGTGCATCATTGTTGAGAATCATGAATTATGTGTTGCTATTTGTTGAATTTTTTGTTTTTTAAACCTGGACTTATGCTATAACATATGATGTTCGGCTTTAGAACTCACCTTACGAATTTATAAAGTGAAGTATTGAGTCATTGAGTGATTTGTGATGTAATTTGGGTTTTCTTTGAACCGTTTGAGCCTTTCAAGTCTACTTTTAACATATTTATCACTAGAACCTTGATTATGCCTTGGAGAAACGGTGTTCTTTCTTTTAGCCAAAGTAAAGTAGATAGATTACATGGAGATTTCTAGATAAATTATCCCTTGGAGCAAAGTTGAAAAAAAGAAAATAGATTAAAAGTTGGTTCAATTTTTCAGAGGTTCGAGGGCATAATAAGTTTAGAGTTATTCAAAAAAATGATAAAATAAGTACATATTTTTTTTATTTAAAAAAACATAAATTTTAATAATATTAAATTATATTTTAATAACAAATAGAAAAAAATCTAATTTTACATAGTGGAATAGAGAGGAAAAAAAATTGGGGTGCGAAATCACATACTTATATAATAATTCGTCTACAGTTTCAAACAGATTTTTGGCACATTCAAGACGATTAATGATTTCCATTAAGATCGTGCAAAACCTAACAAAGAAAAATGTATTTAGTTGTTTTATTTGAGAAGACAATACTAGTAACATTGAATATCGTATTGTGTTATTCAACTTAAATGTTAGAGAAAGGTAGCAAAAAATTGATGAAACTTCACAATACTCAAAATCAATAAAAAAATGAGAGATAGAGAGAATATAGTTTCCACCAAGCCACCAAGAAGTGATCTAGCCCGATGTGCCTTATCAAAACCTTAGTAGCCGCCACCCAAAGTTCGGAGCGGGCAATGGAAAATCACATAAACATGTTTGAATATCAAAATTGAAAAGAAAAAAAAATAACACTTAATTATAGATCTCGACAAGAAGAATCCAACGGTGGGTAACTCGTCAAATTCACATCGCAGAAAAACAAGTTACCTCTCCAAAAAGAACCGTCGCCGTTGAAATCAACATCCATTGTAAAATGACTCCAAAACGTATGCAACTACCATCAAAAGAGAGGAACCCAACAGTAGTTAAACTATCATATTTCGACCGGCAGAGAGAAAGTTATGGCTCCGAGAAACACCTTTTATCAGCCCAAAAAATTATGAGGTGGAAATATGGATCTTAGACAAAAATAAGATACGGAGAAACGGTAAATCTAGTTCTCTAAAAAGTATAATAGGTACTCCATGTGGCCGAGAAGCAAATGTTGAAGTGTGAAAAAAAGATTAGGGATATCAGTAAGTGTGTAATCTCCTTGGTATATAGATCAATATATTTCTCAAACGAGGGATCCGTCATATTATCCCAAAAAAGGACAAAATGAACTTCGGCCCCTAGAAATTTCTAGTTTTCGCTCTTTGCCCCCTACAAATTAAAAAATGAGACTTCCCCCTTCGAAATTTCGTTATAGTTGCACTATGCCCCAAATGTGACTTTCCGGCGGATTTTTCACCGGGTTTTCTCATGTCTCCGTCAATTTAAAGGGCATTTTCGTCTTTTCAAGGTTTCCACCCAAGATATTATTTATCGCTGAAAAAAAAAACCCAACCCATTAGACAACACATTACCTTATTTCATAACAAAAAAAAAAAGGTATTTTCTCTCAAACACAATTACGGTGATGGTCACCAAATCGTAAGAATCTTCAGTTTCTTATTCGATTACCACCTATTACGGTGATTAATTCTTTCCCATATAGATTTAAAAAGTATAAGTTGGAAACAAAGAAAAGGGAACACACAAAGAGAACAGAGGTAATGCACAAACACATTGATTTTCCATGATTTTCCTCATCTAACAAAATGAAAAGAAGGTCAAAATTCAAACACCCATAAACCGTAGCTCCAACAACTGAATTTTACACACAAAGAATGAAACTCTCAAAAAATCTTACCTTTGTTAAAAAGCTTTTGCCTTTGAAGAGAAAAACGAAGCCCTGATTTTGGAGCTCAATTCTGTAATCATGGGTATAATGAATCAGCATATTGGGGATTTGGGTTCAAATTTATGTATATACCCTGAAAAGACGAAAATGCCCTTTAAATTGACGAAAACATGAGAAAACAGGTGAAAAATCCGCCGGAAAGTCACATTTGGGGCAAATTGCAACTATAACCAAATTTCAAAGGGGGGAGTCTAATTTTTTAATTTCTAGGGGGCAAAGTGCGAAAACTATAAATTTTTAGGGGGCGAAGTGCATTTTGTCCCCCAAAAATTAACAAGTCTTCAGTTTAAGGATGTGCATGTAATTATTACACAAGTAAGAAGGATTATTTTGTAGTTTAGCTGTTTAACTTTTAGGATTAATGATTTCATAATAATAATAATTTAATGGATCGCTTGTCAATGTTTGACATATGACCAAATAGTAGGAAATGAAGTCAAATTATTGAAGCATAGCTACTCTATAAAGCTAAAATGGTATATTTAATCAGAGCAACTACATACTTAGGGATTATATTAATAAGTAAAGC